ACAGTGTCTCTGTGTTTCGCTCCCATGCACATTACATAAAAACTTCTTTTAACTTCTGAGACGAACTTCTGAAACAGAAACGGGGAAAAATGCAAGCCTGCGGATTGCTAAAGCAGGTAAGCCTCACACTACTTGTGAAGAACTTTGTTTACCCTTGGCAAAAAGAGCCGACACGTATTGTGTGGAGAAAAGGCTGCTAAACAGCTCGACCTGCTGGCCCCTCTGAAAGACACGGTCACTCGTAGAATTATTGATATGGCGGATGATGTCAAAAGTACACTGTTAGAACGCGTTAAGACGAGCAGATGCTTTTCACTGCAATTAGATGAGTCTGTGAATGTGTTTGATTTGGCCAATTTACACTAGATACAAGTTTGAGGGTATGTCCCACAAGGCCTTTCTGTTCTGTAAGCCGCTACCAACAGGAACTACAGGAGAGCACATATTTCAGTTTCTGAATGAATTTATCGAAGAGAATGGCATCAACTGGATAAAATGTGTCGGAATTTGTACAGACGGTGCTAGAGCGATGACAAGCCGATACAGCGGTGTAGTTGCACGAATTAGAGAGGTTGCTCCAGATATGAAGTGGACGCACTGCAGTATCCACTGCAAGGCCTTGGCAGTCAAGAAAATGCCTGACGATTTAAAACCTATTAGACTCTGCTGTGAATTGTATCAAAGCTCAACCGATGAACTCACATCTGCTTTGCTTGACTACACAGGCTCACCCCTCTCACTGAAATGGTGCTTTTTATATTATTTTTAATTGTTGTTGTTCCTGTTTTTTTTCTGTAAAGTTCTTTGAGAAGCCACCTTAAAAAGCACTATATCAAATAAAGTTTATTATAATATTTATTGTGTGTGTGTGTGTGTACAAGCACTCATGTTGGTCATTGAGATTTTCTGGGGTTCCTATGAGATGATGACTTGTAGGTAGTACCTGGATGCTTTGGTTTGATCAGGGGTGGTACTTGGTCCAAAAAGTTTGAGAACCACTGAATTAGACCATCAAACAAAGTATAACCGTCAGCTTGAAGCATCAACTCAAATCTGCCATTTCTTCAGTTTATCATTTCAAACGGTCATTTTTCAAAAACTACCTGTAAACATTTCTAAAACTAAAACCAATAATTAATATATATCAAATCAAACACATTATCAACCAACCATTACCAGTTGTCTCTGCAAACAATCTACAATGACGAGATTATCAGCCTATCCTGTGTGCAAGTTTCTGTATTCTTTGGAGAGCTGCTTTCAATCACAAGTGTGACATCAATACATCAGCATTTATTCCAAATCTTTTTAGATTATGGAATATTTTAAACAAACCTTTGCACTGGACCCAGACCTTAACCCGAAAATTCTAAATCAAAAGGCTATAAATCAGTTCCGGCTACACAACTGTAAATTAGGCATCTGGGTGGTTCACTCAGTAAAGGGTTCTAGTGAGGTAAAAATCCTACATCCTGTACCCTCTATTACAAATGTAAGCGCTGCGCCTGGTCAAGAGCTCCTCAGGGTTACGCACAATTGATTCAGCACCAGTAGGAATGAAGTGGGTTAAAAACAGCTAAGAAAGCCCTAAACATCTGTCCAAACACCTGTCAGGTAACAGAATGCTGTTTCTAACTAAAATCTGACAACTACTTGGATATTTGAGCTCTGGACTGCTTCTATCAAAAGACGCAACTGTTTGGCTACACCAATTTCCCAAGACAGCTGTGTGGTTTTCATCGCACCTTGGCTGGTGCAGTCTACCGAAATTAGCAATTTGAAAAATAAAACCATTTCTCCCAACAATTACCAACGGAAAACCATACATTACACGAACGCGTGACATTTTACTCGGCAAATAATTTCTCACAAAGCTGAAATGCCTTAAAAATGCAGAGGATTTCACTGTGCACTTGAAAGACGTATGAAAACGGTAACTATGTAAGAATGCGTCTGGTATACTTACTCCACGCAGTCTTCCAGGGCAGATGCCACAGGCAGACTTGGGTGCTTTGCCCACCTTCTTGGTATACAGGTACACGATGCGGTTACCAGGGGTTCGAGACCTGTCAAAGGAGGAAATTTCAGTGATTCCACGTGTTCAACACTATAATCAATGTCACTGTGCTAGGTTACAGATTGTCAGCTCTGGTCTCGAAGGGCTCCTGTCTCCTGATTTGGGCTCATACCGTACACTCAGCTGCAAGACATCTTTGATTTACTTTTCAATCCCAAGTTAGCAAATTCTTCAATAACATAAGAAAACGTCTGAATTGAAGTGAAAAATAAATCCATATCAGATGCCTCAAGCGCCATAGTTAAATTCCATTTTGATTAACCACATCACCCTTAAGAGAGCGGAAACTCCACAGAAGACAACGGGTGCAAGGTACGCTCTACACTGTTTGGGATGCCAGTTCCCTGGAGCAACCCACACACATACAGGGGGATATCTAAAGATGCCAGTTAACCTGCACAGCATGCCTCTCTACTGGGGCAAGAGATGGGAACAACCTAAGACGACCCACACAAATACACTGAGCTTGCAAACACCCCGGTGAAGGCATCCAGTCTGGAGTCAAACCCAGAACTCGAAGTGCTGCAAGGCAGTAACTCTGTCGTGCCAAAGGATTGAACTCAAACACTAATACCAAATTGTACAGACTTAACTAACACTGGGCCCCACCAAAAGACTTGATAGCCGTGTAGAAACATAGGTGCCCAAAAAAATAATTCTCTATGTAAAATGTATTTGAATTCCACAAATCCATCAAGTAACATACTAGCTATAATGTGTAGTTGGTCGTTAACTAATCAGACGAACGCAGGAAGCATTCGTAAGGGACTGGCATGTTTCTACTTAATTTTCAACCATTACTTAATGGTACTTCATCATCAACAGAAGTCTTTCTCTCATTCAAACTAGACATACACATTTAAGATATCCGTCTTGTCTTATGTAGTCTATGTCCAGCATAATACGACTAATTGTGAACACCGTTAGATTTTAAATACATATTATATAAATATATAAAACACACTTACAGCCTTGTTTTGTTAGAGGCTGTATTGTAGGACAGCCTACGGCGGTACGTAAGACGCTGAACCATGTTTATCCTGAAGAGATAAAAATAAATAATTTTAGTTTCATTAAAAAAAAACAGGGCAGTGCATCCCACTCATTTTAAATGAAGTCTGTACAACTACACGGGACATGAACACCAGATATCTCGTCATCTAAACTATTTTTTTCTGCGACTACAAGTTCAAAACTAGCGAACTACTTCATAAATCAAGGTAGCAAAAATTATATCGATTTACGAAACAAACCATATAATCCCATAAGAAATAAAAATACAGAATGTTTCCTAAGGCCTTCTACTGAGACCAGAAAGGTCTTTTTGGATGAGTCCGGGTTTTATTTAAAACTAATACTTGACAAGAGTCAATCCTACAGATATAACACAAAACCTTATTTAAAGCCTTAGCAGGTATGTGTTTCGCAAAAAGAGGTATATATAAAACAATCCTGACAGCAGATTAACATAGATTCCTAAAAGTATTTTCACGACGAGACACAAACCACCATACCTGATGGCAGCGCAACCGGAAAAGAAAGAGGGAAAGATGGGGTGAAAGTTGAAGTTCTTCTGAACCGGAAAAGGATCTGCACCACGGAGGTGGACATGTTGTACGGCAACACGGGACATTACGTAATGTGCTTCGTACTTAAATACAGTAGTGCTCGCTTTTTCAGTTTTTGCATGACTCGGCCACATACTGTATATCAAAAACAACCGAATGCAAGCCGAATAAAATAGTCGTTTTTAAAACGTTTAAAAGGTGACACGTTATATTTTAAGGTTTATGAATTTGCTGTGTTGCATCTAGTAGCATATAACTTCCTCTTTAAAAACAGTCAAAAAACGTTTAAGAGAAGGTAGAAAAATGTGAAATAAAAAATGTAACTTAGAGAATTAGTGACAGCTATGAGCTTGTTATTCAGCAACCAGTAAAGTTAGGCACAAGGTGTGATATCATCATCTGTCAAACACACCATGCAGGTGGTAATTTATCAAGTGGATTCTCAGTTTGGGCATGTTCAGTTTAATTACTGATAGTTTGTCCTTAGATGTTATGCTTTACTGTTTCCTTAAATTGCACATTTTAGTACTCATTACTCGTTAAAACTCTACCACATTCTTCTCATGTACCATGACATTTAATTGGGAATTATGCTGCCTTTCAAACAGAGTTAATCTGAAGCAGCCACATTAGATACACTGGCAATAAAGGAGCTGTCAAACAGTGGGGTTTCGCTTGCATGTAACATGAAATTGAAAAACCTGTCATTGGATTGTCAAGTTCAACAAGTCAAGTTTTGCCATAATATCTCAAGGAAATGTACCGTAACACTTTCTTCTTTCAATCCATCTCAGAAGGGAAAGTGAGACAGTGTGCCTACTCCGTGAAGTTGTCCGCTTCAGTTTTGCCTGAGAGTCTTTTTACGTCTGTAAGACAGCCATGCAACTTCAAACCAAGATCATTCAGAGTTCAAATACAATTTTACACTTCTATGACATGATATTCTAATTTAATTCAGAGAACGAAAAAGTGTTTGAGCACATTTCCATGATTTAGCCAACGCACCTCACAATTGGGAAGTACATACTTGTGTTCTGAATCAATTTCCTTTACAAAGACTTCAAATGATTGTGAAATTCACCTCATGAGCTCCGGTTCTGTTTACTGTGCTACTATGACGTGTTTGTCATTCTCCAAATTCAGAATTTTGTCACACACTGCTTGCGTCACGGAGCAAAAATGGGTGTAGGGGCAACAGATGTCAGGTCTATGCTGTCCTTAATTTTGCATTGAACAGCCAGTGTTTCTTTAAGGGGTGATGCTTTTCAACACATTTCTCCAAAGAGTACAATAAAGCTCAACTTGAATTTTAAAGCTAAAATACTCTGCTTTTAGGGGCAACCATTCTTGACATTTGCTGATGTACTTCGGGGGCCTCCTGAATACATATTGTATTTTATTGCTGTTCATAACAGTTAACTGACAACACCACCCCCAAGTGTTTACATATATATATATAGCTCCAGATCAAATGGTCTCTGTATCATCTCTGTATCTCTCTGCATTTGCTGCCCTATTTAGGAATGTTAACTGGTAGGTATTGGCTTCTGTTATTTTTAAATAATGTAACATTCCTCACACCTCAGAGTGGACTGATCCAGCAACCCTTTCCCACCTTTTCCTCTATAAAAATGTGGAGAGACTCCTTTGCATCAAGTCAGTTCCAGATGTCTTTCTCTATCTCTCTTAGGTCTTAGCTACCTTTCCCAGTGACTAGCACACCCATTGTAGAAATAACAGCAATAAATCTGTTTTAGTAAGCCTGACAAAGTCTCTTCCAGCCTGTTATTCCCTTCTCCATCTGGTTTCACCATAGTTACATAATAAAAATGCAATATCTAGATGAATATTATGTAGATAACAATGCGTTTGTCACATTATATGACTTGAGAGATGTGCTAATTGAGATAACAACTGTTCCTTTTATTGTTAACGCAAGAGCTGTATGGTAGAGGTAATAGTTTGTAGTAAAAATACAGTATGTGTAATAAACAAATGTAGGGATTTTAAAGAATGTACGTTCAGCCTGTTCCACCACAGATTTTTGGTACAGAAAGCACCACATATTAAGTTGATAGTTTAAAACAGTTCAGTAAAAATGAAAAACTGAATGTAACTGAATGGAATGATAAGTTGTAGAAAAAGCTGACCAATGGTAATTTATTACTGCTAGTTCCCCCTAGACATCTGTAACTGGCTAACTTGGAATTATCAGTACATTAACTTGTAGTTCAGGTTAATTACTCAGTTAAAAATAAAATTTTTTCACCTTGAAAAAAGCTCAACAGCCAAAACGTTTTTTCCCTTCCTTTTACTTTCTCATCTGAAATAAACACCCACTTGTTTCCAAGACATTATTAGTAGAACTCATTTTATTTTGCCTTTCATTGATGTTTTCCTCTTTTAAAACAGTGGTTCATATATTCTATAGAAAAAAATCTAGGCATTACATATAACATAAGGAATCAATTTCATAGCTTCAAATTTCAAATTCATTGTGTTAAAGGTGTAATTTCAATATACTGTATGCATAACTTTCAGTATATCCTGGATATTCAGAACTTTCTAGTTCCAAGCTTTCAGATTCCTACACCTGTTGGTTTACTGTGTAATTGTTTAAGTTGAACTATAAAATTGATTTAAAGGAACATTTTTTTATTAAAGAAAAGGAAATGTTTTTCAGTCCAATACAACTTGTATAGTAAGTTGTGACTTTGTTGTCAACAAATTTCTGAAATTTAAAGTAAAATTCTGTTTTCAAATCTACTGTATTGATCGCTAGTTGTACAGGCAGCCTTTATTCAAAATGTTTAAAACTAGAGCATTCTAAGACCTTTTCAACTTTTTTAAGAGTAACTTGAAATTTAGTGAACTTTGAAGTTCTTTTAAATTGAAGCTTTTTTAGGTTTTGGACAGAATTACAACTTATTTCCAGATAAATTATCCTGCTCTACTTAACCTCACAAGATAACTCCCTCTCCAAAAAAATAGAGTTTATGTTTTTTTTCTTTTGTTTTTATATCAAGCATTGTTGGTGTATTTCTTCATGCTCTGGAGCTCCTTTTAATGAATTAACGATTAATAAGTATCAGTATGTCCACCACTACGGAAAGCTTTTTAAATACTGTAGTTCAACAGTGAAAAGATCACCTGAACCCTGTGGTGTTGTTCATTGTTTTTACTTAAACAGTTGTGCTCAGTTCTGAATAATTTGTAAATGTGTCTGTCTGTAGGACATCTGAGACTCTGGTCACTGTAAATATTAAAAATTCCAATGTTCCTGTCAATGTCTTCCCAATCATTTTCCTCTCTTTATGGCAGTAAAGCAAAAACATAAGCATTCAACAGATGTACGAACAAGCACTAACAAGACTGAGAAACTGGGGTAGCTGGGGGTCCAACTACTATTTGACTTCTTTTCTTTGATTCGTACATTCCCCTTTACTCAATTACTTATTTCATTATTTAGTGGATGGTTCAAAATATTAAGTCAAAAGAAGCAACTCAACATGAGTTTTTCTACAATCTACAGCAATTGTGTATTTGGTGCACTTTAGATGTAGCTTGAAATGTACATTTTTGTTTTATTGAATAATTTGGAAAATCTTATTGTGGAGTTTGTTGTATTGTTGTAATTCTGATAGTACTAATGTGTCAGTAGTGGTAGTCTGATTAATCTACCTTACATGTGTTTATTATTTTCCCATTATCCAATAACATTCTATAAAGGTACTTGCATAATATTAGAAAGTGCTGGGATACAACAAGGTTTAGTATGGTATAACATTATCTGTTTAGTGTGCACTTTGGTGTTTCTAACTTGTTGTTTGAAAGATTTAGTATAAAGTTCCTTCAGTGTTGTATATGTGTTGCAGTTTTAATAGATAACTGTTATGCTTCTGTTTTGGAAATGTTTTTACACTTTGTGCAAAATAAACCTTTTTCTTGTACCAGATTTAATTTTATTACTTTCAAGTAATACCACTTTTTTGGCGTTTTTTGGCAGTACAAATGTCAATAAAAATGTTATTTGTAATTTTAGGTGTGTAACAAACCACAGAGTATCACGGATTGTTAAAGAAATGACAGCAGCTTTGGCATCTTTTTGAGGCCTCTCCTATAGGCCTGCATACGCAAAGGCTTCTCATGTATGAACCAGCCACATTGTTCGAACAATACTTTATCATTTTACCATTCTACATTGTTCTGGGTGAACAAAAGGGGATGAAAGTATGTAGTACACCTACAGCAGTATTAACCAGCATGTACTGTCTAGTCAGTTTTAAGAATATTCCAGTTAAAGGAAATAATGCACCAGAGTGGGAGTATCAGTTGTGCTGTCCGAACACCACCTCTTTTCACAGGAAACATGTTTTCTGGGAACTTTAAATTTTGTCACTCACCTGAAGAGATCCACGCAGTTAAGATATCAGACTTGAAAACCATTTCAAGCTCATTTAAGATAGGTATTTCTAAAGCTTTTTTATGTGGTTTTCTAAGGGGTTTTCAGGAATTAAACGTGGAAAAAACTAACAACTTTACATTCTGTGATCTAGGGTCCTGAGCTCTCCAGCCCTTTGAAAAAAAACACAAGAACCCACACGTAAAGAGGTTATTTTCTATCTATTAAAATCATGCCCTACTTTAACTATAAATTAAAATGTTAAAAGTGAGCATGTTTAAGTGAAATATAGTTTTTTATTTTATCTTCTGATACATACTGATACATATTCTCTTGCTTGATTTGCAACTTTAACATTTTCAAATTAACACTTTTGAATCTATCCATATTTTCCAGTGTAACTGCATATGAAGTAATACATTATTTCCTAGGTAGTTCACTTGCAATGCTGACAACATTACAATGCTTTCATGCATTTTTAACATTCATTTTGAAATAATAATGACCAGCCACCTGTCATACAATGTAACCCTTTCAGAAAATGAAATAAAAAGTTTGTTCCACAAAAGTTTGTGGAAATAA